GCCCACGGTCACCCGGGCGGTGTCCTACGTGCCCGGCGTTGCCCTTCGCTCAGAGGCTCTGCAGAGCGGGACTCGGGATGGACGCGACGTTGCCCCTGCTCCGAGAGGGCTCCGGGGTCCCCCGGACGCTGTGCGATGATAGTACAGTGCAGCGAGGCTCAGCAAGCCCTCGGCCTGCGGGGACCAGGACCCACGGTGGAACCGGGTCCGAGGACGTGTGACAGGTGTGCAGCCAGGCACGGAGGCACACACCTGCAGTCGTGCATTCTGGGAGGCTGAGGGAGGAGGATCACAAGTTCAAGCCCAGCCTGGGGTATTTAGCGCCTTAGCGAGATCCTGGCTCGAATAAGATAGAATGAGCTGGGGATGTAGGTCAGTGCTAAGGCCCTGGGTTTGATCTCCAGTACAATTAACCCGTGAGAGGAGGCTGCACTGAGAGCGGAGGAGCAACACTGCAGGAGGCCAGGAGAGTCTGGTGTGCAGTGGGTGGCAGGGAGATGCAGAGGCTGAGGGTTCAGACAGGAAGGACTGCGACCAGCAGGAGTCTGCAGAAGCTCAGAACCTTGGAACTGTGACTTCTTTCTGCTCACTGCTGCCCTGGACGTGCAGACCAGGGCAGCCCAGTAAATGCCACCTGAGTAAACCCATTCATTGGTGCTCTCCGCACAGCCCTCGGCTAATGCCACGCAGCCCTGTGACTCGCTGGTTGTGTTTGCTGGAAACAACGCACTGCAAGGGGGTCACGGAGAGAAGGCAGGGAGCTGGGCCGGGGATGCGGATGGATTCTTACAAAGCAAGGGGTGAGGTGGAAAGCCTGGCTGAGAGGATGTGTTCCACCAAAGTCTTAGAGCCACGTGGCTGTGCTGCAAGCAGGCGTCCCTAGGCAGAAGTCTCACTTGTGTTGTCTGTCCCCAGTCAAGGGTGAGGGCAGCTGCGGAGCTAGGGCCCTGCACCCACCTGGGGATACAAATTCAAAGACAGATTTCGACAGCTGGGGCAGAGGGTTGGTCAGCTATGCCATGTGCACTGGAGGATCTGAGGAGGGCATTTCCTTGGCCACCAGAGTACAGTAGTACACTGGCCATCCTACCCTTACAGATTCAGCCAAATAGGTGGAAAATAGTCCAGCGAAAGCTTTGTGGTTGCTGAGCATACTGAGTAGTTACACCTGGCATGGTTGCTTCTGCACTGAATAGATCACCACCCCCAAGCAATATAATGTAACAACTATTTACACAGCATTTGCATTGCATCAGATACTATCAAAAAGCTAGAAATGGTAATGGTGAACCTTTTAGAGAGGAGAGCCCAAATTACAGCCCAAACCCATGTATTTATCGCTAAGAAAAACAAATAACCTGCCCATGGTAGGTTTGCCACCACTGGTGTAAAGTATATGGGAGTACGTGTGGAGGTTCTATGCAAACACAATGCCATTTCCTATAGGGGATTTTGATATCCACCGAGTGGGGGGAGTTCTCGACGTGGTCTGCTGTGGGACAGTGTACTGTCCTCATTTTACACATGAGGAAATCAGGTTTCAAGAGTTAAAGTCACCGAACAGGTTCAAGGTGGTTCCTGTCTGGTCCAGGATATAGAGCTGGTGGCCTCCAAAGCCCTCAGTTTTTCTACTCTGCTCACTAATGAGACTCTGGGGCAGGAATCAGGAAGCCTTGCTGAGGTGTGGTGGGGTGATGGATAGGAAATGCTGACAGTTTGTCCCCTTTATATTGAAAGGTAGAGTGCATACCTTCTCCTCTGGAACTTTGGGCTGCATTTAGTGATTTGTGAACCTGTAGAACATGGGGCTGAGCATAGTCTAGATCTTCTGAAGTCGGGTCACAGAAGCCTTGTAACTTCTGCCTGGGCCTCTGGAAATCCCAGCTCCTGGAGCCCCAAGCCGCCATCAAGTTAAACTCCTCTGGGATGACTGTGCTGGGAAAGCATGAGAGAAACCACAGAGGTAAGGGTGTCCTACTGACTCTCAGCTGTCCCCAGCCATTTGAGTCACAGGCTCCAGAGAGGACAGAGACCCCTGCTGATCCCCACTGGGAAGGCAAAATAAAGGATTCTTGTCCTAAGCCTGTTAAGTCTTGGTGTACTGTTGCCAGTCAGCCTTCTATTGCAGGACAAAATGCATGATGTACACAACTTAGACCAGGAAGGGTATTTTGGCTCAGGGTTTCAAAGGGTTCAGTCCGTGATTTGCAGGCTACAAAGCAGAAACATCATGGCAGAAGGGCCTGGCAGAGGAAAGCTGTTCAATTCATGGCAGCTAGGAAGCAGAGGGAAAGGAAAAGAACCAGAAAAAAAAGTAATCCCCCAGTGGCCTGGTTCCTTCACTTGAGCACCACCTCCCAACACCCATCACTCCATGAACTCCCCACTGGGTTAACCATGGATGGCAAATCCATTGATGACACTGGAGCCCTCATGATCCAGTCAGATCCCCACCCCTGAGCTCTTCCATACTGGGGATGGAGCTCTCGCTACATAAGTCTATTAATCGCTAAGAAGTGTGTTACTCAGTTACGGATGACTGGGGCAGAGCCTGCAGGCAGGCCTGAGGCCAAGCTATTGGCAGTAACTGTGGCCACCCCCTCCTGGCTCACCCTAGCTGTGGCTACCAGCAATCTTCAAGCAGCTGGCCCCAAGAACCAGCTTTGTGTGTAACAGGACCTGGGGTGAAGCTCTGGGATGATGCCACTGTTCAAGCCTGTTGGTGAGGTCCCTGGGCGGCCCCAGTCCTCATGGGGTCACAGGGCATTGTGTCTCCGTCTCTGCATCAGGTTCCAGTTGTCTAAACAAGTGTGCCTTGCCCTGTGCTACAGGTTACTCAAGGGGACATGCTACCCCCCCAGGCTTCGTGTCCCATCCTAGGAATTAGTTGGGGGTCTATGGCAATCTGTGTGTCTTTTCCTTACCCAACTAGGGAGGCGTGTGTGGTGGTCCATGCCTGTAATCCCAGCATGCAAAGGGCTGAGGCAGGAGGATCATCATGAGTTCAGCCAGGGATACTTACCACAACCCTGTCTTGAAAAAGTGTTCTAAATTAAAACAAAACAAAACAAAACAAAACAAAACAAAAATACCCTTGGGGCTGGGGATTTAGCTTAGTGGTTCTGCTGCCTGCCTTGCAAGCGCAAGGTCCCAAGTTCGATCCCCAGTACCCCCAAAAATAAAAAATAAAAAACAACCTACATGTATGTTTGGCACAGGTTCATGCTTAAATTGTACTCCATCCCACCACTGACACTAAAACCAGACTTTCTTTGTGCTGGCTCCATTCTGGGGGGCAAATCCCAAGTGACCCATTCATTCCAGCCCGGGCCACCATCCTGGGCATCTTCCTTCTTCTTCACTAAGGCCCCTTCTTGCCTCTTGACTGAGCCATGCCATAAGAGGGGGACAGGCTATGAGGTGGACAGACACAGCCGGAATTGATCACTGTTGTCTCAGCGTGGGAGTTTCCGAACAGGCGCTTCCCTTCAGTCTTCAGTTTACCTCCCGTTGGTCTGGATCTTGGTGGTGTCCACTGCATCCGGCAGTTGGTAAACTGCTTCCTTTTTAAATTTCTGGGCCAAGCTGGACAAAAACCTCTTTCTTGGTTCCTCTTAGTCCTGACCAGACCAGCATTTTAAAATGTGCTAAACATTGTGACAGAACAACAATGACCTAATTACAGAAAATGTGAAAAGCTTTTAAAAAGAGCAAGTGTTCCTAAATAGGCTGTACTCCCATAGCAATTCCTGTCTTATCACGCAGGCCGGTACGGCTCCCCAGTACCTAAGCCTGCCTGTCACTCTGTTCAGTTCCATCGCCTTCCGTGTCGAACAGCAGCTGACACAGGCTTCTCAGTGCCCTCTGCCTCTTCCTCATTTCTGACCTACAGGACGTGTTGCTGCCCCTCTGACTGGCATCATTAGTTAACTGCCATAGAAGCGGCTTGTCCCGGGCAAGACTCCACCCTTTAGTTCAGGGTGCAGCCCCTGGCGACACAGGTCACTAGAGGAGGGGTCACCAGGAGCTGGGGCCCTGGCAGCAGGCAGGCAGGAGGAGTGGCCCCGCTGACCTCTCTGATCATCAAATCAGAAAACTTTACAAGAATGAGCACACTCAGGATTGTGGATGCCTGTTGAAAGTTGATAGGCATTCAAGGCTCTGAACAGAAAAGAGCTTTCTTCATAGGTTCTAAGACAGGGCCACTGTGGGGAGGCAAGAAGTCTCTTTGAGCCCCACCTGAAATCTGCAACATTGACATGCTAGGACAAGGTTGCTCGTATAGTCACTGTATATTTTTATGTTGAAAATATTTGTGTGTTGAGTGTAAACACCTATGAAACACCAAAACAGCATAACAATCCATAGCTCCAGATGTAAATGCCAGTGACCTCCTCCTCCCCTTCTTCCATCCCCCTCCACTTCCCCACCTCCTCCTTTGCAGTACCAGAGATGAAACTCGGGGCCTTTTCCTTGAGCTATAACCCCAGCACCTTTTTCAAAATTTTATTTTGAGATAAGGATGCCCAAGTTGGGCTTGAACTTGCAGTCCTCCTGCCTCAGCCTCCTAGACTAAGCTATTAATTTTGAATGCTTTGTTACATTATGATTTAAAAATACCATATTTTGGGGTTTTTTTGGTTGTAGTTGATTGTTTGTTTTTGTTTGGAGACAGTTTCACTGTGTAGTTGAGATTGGCCTTGAATCACTACGTAGCCCAGACTGGCCTTGAACTCAAGGCAGTCCTCCTGCCTCAGGCTTTCAAGTGCTGGGTTTACAGGCAATTGCCACCACACCCAGCTA